GATCTGCTCTTGTTTGAAAACCAAGTTGCTACCAAAGCTGCGTTTCATCGTGTGGTTATAAGAGCAGAGTGGAGACACCAGGATGACAGAGAAACCATCCCAAGGCTCCCACCAGCAAAACTGGAGTAAATTGGGGGTTGAGAGTATGGAAATCATTTTCAAAACTTTCCAAGTGGGGGGGGAACGTTAGGACTTTGAATCAGGTTTTGATGGTTTGGTTTGACTTGAAGGATGGTCAGGCCTAATGGAAGAGGGGAGAAGAGATTTGTCTCGTGGGAATCACAGGAGGGAGTGTTTGTGTTTTACTTCAGTGGTCACAGAAACCACACGAAGGAAGCAGGTGGGGCAAGAAGTTAGGGTCTAGTATTTTGTTTAACTAGGAACCATAAAGTCAAGAGAATAAGAGATTCTGTTTAAGCAACTACCGTGGAAAAAATAATGCAATAATTAATCTGGAAAGTATCTCGTGGTGGTTGGGGTCACAGAAACCAGTTAAGCTCTTGGAAATCTTCTTAGCCATCCTGGGTAAGCTGGAGAAAACTGGGGGGGCTCTTCACCAGAGAGGTAGGACAAGGGGGAATGGTTTTAAACTGAAAGAGGGGAGATTTGGGTTAGACATCAGGAAGAAATTCTTCACCATAAGGGTAGGAAGGTGCTGGAACAGGTTGCCCAGGGAGGTTGTGGCTGCCCCATCCCTGGGGGTGTTCAAGAGCAGGTTGGGTGAGGTTTGTGCAGCCTGGGCTGGTGCTTTCACCTTCATTCTTAAATGCATTAAGTTGCAATGCCCTGGTCTGCAAAATACACAAGGCTTTGTCTAAATTTTCATAGAAGATATAATGGCAAAGATCCAAATGACAGGGTAATAGTTTTAAACTGAAAAAGAGTAGATTTAAGTTAGATATTAGGAAGAAATTCTTCACCACAAGGGTAGTAAGGAACTGGAATAGGTTGCCCAGGGGAGCTGTGGATGCCTCCTCTCGGAAGGTGTTCGAGGTCAGCCTGGTCTAGTGGGAGGTGTCCCTGCTCATGGCAGGGAGGCTGGAACCTGCTGATCTTTAAGGTCCCTTCCAACCTTCACCACTCTGTGGTCCCATCCATCCTGGTTGGAATATCAGGAGCTGCCACCAGTACAGTGACCATAGATGGCCCATGATTTTTGATAGAAATGAATCCACCTGAAGTTATGGAACTCAGAAGATCCTAAGAGGCCAATCCATGTCAAGGTTAAATGTAATGAGTTGTGAGCATTATCCATGGGGCAGCAATTTGCCCTCCTGGCCAAGAGAGCCAATAGTGTCCTGGGGTGCATGAAGAACAGTGTGTCCATCAGGTCGAGGGAGGTTCTCCTCCCCCTCTGCCATGGTGAGACCACATCTGGGGTATTTTGGGCTCCCCAGTTCCAGAGGGACAGGGATTTACTGGAGAGAGTCCAATGGAGGCTACAAGGATGATGAAGGGACTGGAACATCTGTCTGATGGGGAAAGGCTGAGAGACCTGGAGCTGTTCAGTCTGGAGAAGGCAGAGAAAGGACCTGATTATTATCTATAAATATCTGAGGGGGGTGTCAAGGAGAGGGGACCAGGCTCTGCTCAGTGGTGTCCTGTGACAGGATGAGGAGCAATGGAAGTTCCACCTCAACATGAAGGACAACTTGTGTCCTGTGAGGGTGGCAGAGCCCTGGGCCAGTTTGTGGAGGCTCCTTCTCTGGAGACTTTCAAGACCCACCTGGACACGTCCCTGTGTGACCTGCCCCAGGTGATCCTGCTTCATTATTTAAGAAAATCAAATTTAATTCCTAACTTAATCAAATTCCCCCATATTTTTGCTCCCCCTCCCCCCTCACTGGTGTGCAAAGCCCAAGGAGATGCTCTGACCCTCCCTCCCCAGCTTCATTTTCAGCCCCTGCCAAGGGCTGCACTGCAGGAAAAGGCCTTCAGAGTGATGAACATCCTCATTAATCACCTTGTGGTGGGGAGATCTGGGGTTGCTGTTTGGATGCTGGAGCAGGGATGCTCTGGAGACGCCGAGATCCTGCAGAGATGCATTTTTTTGGGGTGTTTTCCTGCAACTTTTGGCACAGTCGCCTGTGAAGCTCAAGCTTAAATGTGGGATTTTTTTTGGGGGGGTGGGTGGTGGGAGGATTCAGGTTTGCAAAACCACCCGTGGGACCCATCCTGGAGCTGGGGCTGCACCAGGAGATGGTGCTGTCCCCCCGGGAAGCGGTTCCTCCCATCCCGGCATCATCAAATCCCCCCCTGGAGGAGCTTTGGAAACTCGCTTTGCACTTGAAGTCTCCAAACGTGACTATTTCTCCTCCACCTCTTCACAAAGAGGCCAAAATTCACCCAAAAAATTCCTCTTTTTGCAGCTTATTTTTATTTTGGCAAGAAAAAGCTCTTGGCTTGTTCTGCCCCCAGGGGGGGGGGTTGGTTGTGGAGATGGGGGAGGAGAAGCACCTGGGACCTGGGATTTGGAGGAGAATATAAAACCCCAACCCCCAAAATGATCACATTTATATTCGGGGTGTGTTTATGATCGGGCTGGCAAAACAGAAGCCTTGCCTGCCCTCTCCTGGCAGCAGGAGTTGCAGTATTTAGCTAATTAATGCAAAGTAAGTAAATTACCCAGTTCCTTCTTTGTGTGGAGCATTTTTCTCCTCTTTCTTGGTTTTTTGGGGGCGTTTTCCCCTTTCCTTTGGGGGGCATTTTCCCCTTGTTCTCCTGTTTTTTCCCTTGTTTTCCTTCTCTATGGGGCAATTTCCTCCTTTGCTGTTTTTTTTTTCCCTCTCCTTTGCTGTTTTTCCCCCCCTCCTTTGTTGGGCAATATTGTTTTTTGTCCCCACTCTTCCTTGAGGATTTTTTCCCTTCTTTGTTGGGTTTTTTCCTTTCTTTGTGTCTGTGGCTTCCTCCTTTCTGAGTTGTTTTTTCCCCCCTCCTCCCTCTGGGCTGGTGCAAGGTCTATTTTAGGACCTCTAAGCCCACCACCAAAGGACTAAATTCCTCACCTTTTCCTTTTATTTTAAGCTTGAAAGGGCTCTCATTTAACCTGGAAAAATCCTAATTAAGAGGAAAGGTTGGATAAACCACCCCAGGGTCTCCCCTTCAAAGGCTTTGCATTTATTTGTGTCCCCCCACATTTAAATGACACGAAGGGGGGAAAAGTCTGAGTTGTTTTGAGTATTTTAGGGCAAAATAACATCCTAAACCAACAGTCTTGATCAAGTCCGGAGCTGGAGAGGTTGCATTAAAGAGATGGTGGAGGATGACAGACCCAATATCCTCCTGGGGGGCTTTTTATTCCCCAAATCCTCTTTCCCATCATTATTTTTTAAAATTCCTCTTGCAACTTAAATATGTTCTAGAAAACAGATTCATTTAGAATATATTTGTATAAACAACTACATAAACAAGGTCTGTTTGGTCCTAACAAAGTGGGAAGAGAAAAGGTTAAATATAATTGTGGGGGTTTAGGCCAAATTCTGTGCTGAAAGGGAACAAAGGCAGGGACATGCAGGGTGACAAAGGCCACCTCTGTCTGCAGCACTGAGGGGACAAGGGAAGAGTTGTTTGCAGAAATGAGGCTGAAGGGCAGCTTGGCTTGACCATTTTTTTTTTTTTAATGTGTACTAGACATTGAACACTTAGAAAAAAAAGTCTCAGAATAGCAAATTTTGGGACATGCACCGTGAGGGGTTTACAAACCATCCGCGTCACAAAGGTGCCCTCCTTGGCCCCTCCACATCCCTCTTGTTTTTAAATATATATTTTATTTTATTTCACTTTGCTTACACCGAGGCAAAAAACAAAAGAAAAACCACCCCATTCAGGGGGGTGTCATTCAGTGCCTTGCAAAGACAAAAAATCAATCATAAAAACACAGGAGGGACGGGACGCGGGGAGGGCGGGTCCACGCCAGAGACTTGACAGATATTCCAGGTTTTCCACCACCCAGCACAGCCCCGAGCAGGAGAAGCAGGAATTCCACACGTTTCTGGCAAAAAGGTGGGTTTTTTTGAAGCATCTCCCATCCCTCAGGCTCAGTTTCCCTGGTGCTGTTTGTTGTAACCATCCGACTTTGCTCATTTAAGCCTCGTGCTTGACACCCCCTCCCAACCCTCCTTTTTGTTGTATTTTAACATCCTTTAGGTCAAGCTGGTCAAGTGTGTCACTTCTCACCCACAGAGCACCCAAACCAGCCTTTTTTCCAGCTGTGACATCTCCACTTTTACCATTTTGGGGTTGGTTTTTTTTGGGGGGGGGAGCATTCAGCAGTGCTTTTTGCCTTTGGGCAGGCTAAGAAGGACAGCAAGGCTGAGCTGAAAAGCAAAGCAGCATGTAGGGGGGGGAGTCAACCAAGAGACCCAGCTGGGGCTTTGGTTTGGCTGCCAGGGGAAAACAAACTATCAAAATCACTTTATTTGTGTGTGTTGCTGCAGGGGGTGGTCACAGGGTGGGAGGTGCAGCGTGGGCAGGTCCTTCTGTACAGCAGGGAAGGTGGAGTTTCTTTGGATGAAAGGGTGAAACTTGGGGGGCTTGGGAAAGCCAAATGTGAGCATCCAAAAACCCCTGTGGGGGATCCAAGTATCCACGGAATGTCCCAGGAAAAGCCTTTTTTTTGGGGGGGGGGCAGAGGGATGGAGGGGGATGAGGGAAAACCCTCCTTGCTTAGCAATGAGGGGGTTTTTTTGGAAATGCTCTTGCAGGGATGCCAAGGAGCAGGGGAGCCCCTTCCTCTCTGCCTGGTCCCTCTCAGGGCTGGCCCTGAGGAGGAGGTGGTGAAGCTCCTCTATCTTTTTGGGGCATCCAGCTCCATCCTGCCACGCTTGGGGTGGAGAAGGACGTTGTCACCCCGTTGCCGAAACCAGAGGCGACGGGCAAGGTGCCCGGGTGGCCCGAGGGCTCTTCACCAAACACAACGGCAAGCAAGAACACGGTGGGGTGGGAGACCCCGGGATGGAAGTGGGGGCTCCCCACGGGGATGCAGGTGCCAGCTGGAAGCATCAGTGCATGGCAAAGAGGAGGAGGAGGAGGGTGGCGAAGGAGGCGCTGGCCACGCGGAGCCGGATGCCGGAGGAGAACTGGTGCTGCTGGTACTCCCGGTACTGCTGGACACACATCTCCCTGATCACCTTGGTCACCACCTTGGTCTCCATCTCGGTCTCTGTCTGGTTGGCCTCAGGAGCAGCCTCCGAGGTGTTCTTCTTGGCAGCAGGGCCGATGTTGTACTCGGTCACCGTGATGTTGAAGCAGTCGGCGACGAACACGTCCTGCGGGACGGAGGCGCCGTAGTCCCGGTAATACACCTGGTTGGGGTAACGAGCCCTGTTGTCGTTCCACCACCGGTACTCGTCGGGGCTGTCGAAGTGATAGTGCATCCCTGACATGACACGGCCCATGGCGTAGCCCCCCAGCCCCCCGACAACAGCCCCTGCTGCCGCTGCCCCAGCCACGTGCTTCAGGTTGGTCTTGGATTTCGGAGGCTTCCAAGGCTTCTGGTTGTGGTAACTTCCCCCGCTGGACGGGTTGTAACCTTGTCCCCAGCCTGGGTTGTGGGGGTACCCTGGGTTGTGAGGGTACCCCGGGTTGTGGGGATAGCCGGGATTACGGGGGTACCCCGGGTTGTGGGGGTAGCCAGGATTGTGGGGGTAGCTGGGCTGGCGGGGGTAGCTGGGCTGGCGGTGGCTCCCGGCGCCCCAGCCGCCCCCGCTGGGTTTGCCTTTGCCCTTCTTGGAGAAGGCGCCGTCGGTCCAGGTGCTGAGGAGCAGGGCCACCAGCCAGCAGGTCACCAGGAGCCGCGCCATGGCTGCGGGACACCAGCACAGGCAGGTCACAAGAGGGGGACACCAGCAGCTTCAGCCTGCCCTTCCTTCTGCATCAAATCCAACCCCCCTCGGCCCCCCTGAATCCAGCTGCTCTGGACTCCAGTGCAGATTTATCCTCCCCAAACCCCCTTCTATATAAAGGTGGAGGTATTTTGGTATGGTTTTACCTATATTTATATATTTTAATATATACATTTCTCTCCCCCACCTCCCTGACAGGTCCTCTGCTGGGAGTGGCACGAGCAGCCCCACCTTTAGGCTCCATTAATGATGCATCATATCAAATACCCACCATCCCCCTTTATTCCAGAATTAAATGCATATTTCTCCTTCCTAAACCCCCTCATTTTTACATATATACATTTAAATATTATATATGTGTAGGTGTTCATGTGTTTTTACATCTCTTTGTATTTTTAGATATGTAGAGATCCTGAAAGATTCTTAATCTCTATTTTTAAATTATTTTTTTTCCACTTAGCTTCCACTGATGGGAAAAAAAAAAGATATGTATTTAAAAAATAAGTATTCTTTTAAAAATATGTATTTTAATACATTATATATAATATACATAAATAGTATATATATACATACACACTGTATAGTATACATATAGTATCTCCTCCACCTCCCTGACAGGTTTTGTGCTGTTAAAGGTAATTTGAAGTCATGGGGGAAACAAAAAAGCTTTGGGGAAAAATGCTTCACTTGGCTGGGAGGTAAAAAAAGCCCCTTCTCAAACCTGCTCCCTCCAATCAGCTGCTATAAATGACATTTCTGGTGGGTAAGGATTGAAGGCTGGGAACAGATCTTCTTCATCTCAAAGCTTTTGGTTACTCAGTGTGTTCTGCAGGGTTGGGTTGGTTTTTTTTTCCCAAAAAAAAGATGATATTTTGTGTGTTTTGCTCAAGTATCTGGTCACGTGCAACAGGCCTTCACTGAAGGAGAAGTTTAATTTGGCTAAAATGCTTGAATTCAGCTAATTTTTCTCCCTGGTTTAACATTTCCAAACACCTGCTGACTCAGCATCCCAGGCCCTGCCCAACGTCTCCGATGGGTGAAATCCCAAATTTCCCCTGCCTCTCCTTCTCTCCTTTCTCTCTTTCCCCATGACCCACCCACTGAACACACCCCAGGTCTGCAAATCCTTTGGAAAACACCTCCCAAGGTGCAAAAAAAAGCCCCTTTGAGTGCATCCTCAGCCCTGCCAAGGAGCTGGGCTCTGATCCTCACATTTAATATCCCAGTCCAGGCAGAGCAAAAAGCTTTTCCATCCTTCTGGAGCAATTCCCTCCCCCAAATCCCCCGGGATGCCAGAGAGGAAGGGCAAAGCATTCCCAGCAGAGTCCCAGGGTGGGAATTCTGCAGCCTCCTTGAATGGTTTGGATGCATTTGCTGGCTCGTTTTACAGGAAGAGAAACAATTAAAGTTTGGGGCCTGAGTGGGGTTGGTTTTTTTTTGTTTCATTTTTCACAGCAGCTAATGGACCAGCTCAGAGATGAGTTGAATTAAGTCCAGAGATTGTTCTGGCTTGGCTGGGTGGGGGTTTTGGTGCCTCCAGGAAGAAGCTGAGAAGCTCCCCCTGCCCCAAAACCAGCCAAGGAACCATCACAGGGACAAGAGATGAACACAGGAACATGATGAACATGAACATAGGAAACAACTGAGATGACACCTGAGCAGTTAAAGGAGCAGGGCTGAGCTGGAGAGGCACAGGGAGCTGCTGGTTGGTGAGGAAGGAGGGGAAGAAGGTGCCCAAGGAGAAGTTTCCCTGCAGCCCATGGGTAGCTGTGCCCCTGGTCCTAATTCAGTCCTGGCAGGACTGAATCCATGGGGGGACGTGGTGGAACATTCCCTGAAGGCACCAAAAGGGTGAAGTTGGCCAGTGGGAAGCAGGGCAGGACTGTCAGGAACCTTCCCTGGGGAGGAAGGAGCAGCAGGAACCACCAGGAACTGACTCTGAACCCCATCCCCCTGTGCTGCTGGGGATGAGAAACTGGGAACAAAGGGATTTGGGTGGGGAGAAGGGATGGGGGGGTAACACAAGCCCTGTTCTTTGTGTGTCTGTGTCCTGTGGGTGTTTGATCAGCATGAAATCAAATGATTCTTTTCCCCAAGTTGAGTCTGTTTTGCCTGGGACCTCAATGGGTGAAGCTCATGAACCCATGAGCTTCTGGTTGGGTTTGTCCTTCCCATCCCAGGGTGTGTGTGAGGGGAGTTCAGTGAGTGACCATGGGGCTGGTTCTTTGTTGGGCCCAAAACCAGGGCAGAGATGATGGTGACAGCACAAAGATGCAGGAAAAAAAACCAAACCAACCCCTGGTTAAAGTCAGAAATTCTGCTCCTCGTTACCCTCATGCTCCACAAAAAGCAAATTGTTCTCTTTTTGGGGCATCACGTGGTGATGCTTTTTTTCCTTCTCCCCTGCAAAAATCTGCTCTGGTGCCCAAAAATGTTGGAATTCAGGCCCTTTCGTGGGGGGGGTCGTTAGGAAGAGATGTCATTAAAAAGAGGAAAAGTCTGTTCTTTGTGCTGGGGAGGAAAAGCAGGTGGGAAATCCCCACCTGCTGGTGGGGATGGTGAGACCACGGGGGTAAAAACAAGCAAACAAGCAATTTATATTTATAATTTATAATATTTATAATTATATAATATATAGTAATATGTTATATATTTATAATTTATCATATTTATAATTATATAATATATAATCATATGTTATACATTTATAATTTATAATATTTATAATTTATATTGGTTTTTTTAAAAAATATGACTCCCCGTAAGGGGAAAAAGAATCAGGGGAGTAAAAATAACCAAAAGAGGTGGCAAAACCTCAGGTGGGTGAATGATCCTGGGGCACTCAAGGGAAAAAAAATAAGGGGGAAAGGCAGAAAATGAGCATTTTGTCATTTCTTTTTTTAAGATGTGACTCCCCACAAGGTAGGGGGAAATGATCAGGAGGGTTAAAAACAGCCAAAAGAGGTGGCAATAACTCAGGGGGGTGAATGGTCCTGGGGCACTTAAAAGAAATAAAAAGGAAACAAGGGGAAACAGCAGCAAATGAGCAATTTTTTATGTATCTTTTAAGCTGTGACTTCCCACAAGGGGGGAAATATATGGGAGGTTAAAAATAGCCACAGGATGTGGTAGAAACTTGGGTGGGTGGGTGATCCTGGGGCACTGAAGGAAAGAAATTAGTGGGGGAAAAAGCAGCAAATTACGAGTTTTAATTATGTTTTTAAAGATGTGAGTCCTCCTAAGGTGGGGTAGGGGGATGGTTGGGGGGTTAGAAATAGCCAAAAGAGATGGAAAAACCTCAAGTGGGTGAGTGATCTTGGGGCACTCAAGGAAAAAAACAGGGGGAAAAGGCAGCAAATGAGCATTTTTAAATTCTTTTTTTTTTTAAGATGTGACTCCTCACATGGGGGGAATTAATCAGGGGGTTTAAAAACAGCCAAAAGAGGTGGCAACAACTCAGGGGGTGAATGATCCTGGGGCACTCAAAAGAGATAAAAAGGAAATAGGGGGAAACAGCAGCAAATGGGCAATTTTTAAATATAAATATTTTAAGTTGTGAAATCCCAAATGGGGGGCAGAAAAGACCAGGGGTGTTAAAAACAGCTACAAGATGTGGCAAAACCTCAGGGGGGTGAGTGATCCTGGGGCACTGAAGGAAAAAAAAACTGGAGGGGGAAAGACAGAAAATTGGCATTTTGGTGAGGAGCTGGGATGGGGAGGGGGTTGTTGATGCCCCATCCCTGGAGGTTTTTAAGGCCAGGTTGGATGAGGTTTTGTGCAACCTGGGCTGGTGGTTCCCTGCTCATGGCAGGGGGGTTGGAACTGGATGATCTCTGAGGTCCCTTCCAACCTGAATGATTTATATATACATAGATATATACATAGATATATACATAGATATATACATAGATATATATACATAGATATATACATAGATATATATATTTAAGTCGTGACTCCCAAAAAGGGGGGGGGCAAAAATATCAACCCCTGGATGAAAACAGGTGACAGGGAAGTCCCAGAGGATGTTCCAGCCTGGCAGGAACACCCTGTTCTTGTAATTGTCCCC